TATAAAATGTCGTTCTCTTGAACATCTGTGACTTTTTGAGCCAGGAGTTGTTTTAAGTTCCACTTTGATTTTGGCCCGGCACAGACTAGCCATTCGCTCTTCTGCTCCGTCAGAACTGAACTCTTTTTCTCCAGGCTGAAGTTGTCCAAAAACAGCAGGCATTAATTGTTAAGTGTTCATTAATTGTTTAGCTCCTTTCCATGGAGCCACACTGCACACATTGTCTGAACTATCCCTTTAATATACAGATAAAATGACACAATACTGCCTCAGATTTTCGAGTTGCAATGAAATGTGCATACCACATACAACTGTGTGCAACCTATTAAAAATACATTTACCTGCCACTCAATTTTAGTGAATGTTGTTATTGATGGAACAAGGATGCAATTTTGAAAAGAAACATAAAATTGTGTTAGATTGTGTTAAAGGGCACTGCTCATTAGATGTGACAGATTTTCAAATGTTCTGTCTGTTTATACTTTATTTTACATTCAGATGACATCACCGAGTTGAAAGAAAAAGCAGTGAAAAGTGCTGTTCAGGGAGTGCCACCCTGGTTATTTTCAGTTCTGAGACCGTCTGTTCTGAGTTTCAGTGAGGCTCCAAAACCCCAGAAGCTGCTTTTTTAGACCAACGTGGTTAACTGGCTGCAGGGCCCGTCCTGGTCCCCAGTGTGCACAAACCTTTTGTTCTCTAAATCTAAGCGCAGTGTGGACAGGCTCAAACCTTTATCCCTGATTCTTGCTTTTTTTTTTTTCATCACTTATACTAATAAATAGTTCTTTGGTCAAATCATTAAAATTCAAAGTTGTTATTTTCATCCTTCTGACAAGAGCTTTAATGTGACGAAAGATGCCCGGAGAGAGGCCCACTGAAGAGAAGGAGATAGATGTTGTCTGCTGTCACAAGCTGTTTGGTTACCAGCGGTAAAATAATGTCAGCTTGGCTCGACCGTCAGGAGCTGATTACAGATTTACTTGCCTGGTCTTTTTATAGATGCCTCCTTAATGTCAGCCATTGTTTGCAACCTGTGCATGAATGAAAGAGCATATTTAATTTATTATCACCTGTTGCTATTGTAGCATGAAGATGCGCTCCCTTAACTATGACCCTTGACCCTTGGGTTGTCAGACTCACCATAAACTGTATTCTTTAAAGTGCTCTAAACTTGAATAATGTCTGGTGTTTTTCACACAGTCCCTGTCCGTGGACGCGAGTCAGCTAAGTTTATCTTTATTTGTCCTATGCTTTTCAGAAAGGAAAAAAAAAACAACAAATCATTAATGAGGTTTGTTTGATTTGACCGTGACAAGTGTGAACATGAATCATTTTGATTATAATGGGTGACAGTGTTATTGCCTGCGTGTGTTTGTGCGCATGTGCGTTTTGTCTGTTTGCAGAATACCTCATGAACCTGTGGACGTATTTTAGTCAAATTTTTGAGAACGCGATCGTAGGAGGTACATCTACAACCGATTAACTCTTGGAGTCAACCTGATCTAAGAAGGCCGCCACAGCTCAAAGATTTAAAAAAACTTCAAAATGTCACCAACTCAGTGAATTTTACAGACATTGATCTGAAATTCAGTGTGCTAGTAGCTGAGAGTTACTCTCCTTCACATACTCTTAACTATATCTTTGAAACTTTGTCGTACAAGCCAGCAGGCAATATACATTCTCTCAAGCAATGCTTTTATTCAGCATTAATGACTTTTGTCTCTCCAGTGGGAGAGTAAAGACAGACTTTATGTCTCAGTGGTGTATAGACTGGGAATGTCTCCTTGTTGTGTCTGTTTTACAGGACTTTTTTTGTCCTGGTATAAATGCTGTTCACCTACCAAATAGTCAGTTTGCTCAATGCTTTTTTTTTTTTTTTCTTGACAGCACTAACCCTACATAAACTGAAACCAGCAACAATTTAAATCAGGATCATGTAAATTTCAAGGGCAGCACATTCTCAGTTCAAAGGGAAACCAGTTTGCACAAGAAGTGACCACGTGATGCAGGAGTCAGAACTCTGATGTGTGTCACAGCAATACAGGAAACGGTAACGAGCGTTGCTATTGCCTGCTGATGAAAGTGAAATAACACCATCTTTTGTTTTAATTTTATTTTGTCTATGTGTTCATATTTCTGTCTGTTATGAAAATATCTCAAATTTGGACACATTAAAAAAAAATCTTTCAGAAAGTAATGGTTGGATGTACATCTACAACTGAATATCTTGTGGAGTTAATCCTATTTCAAATGTCTGCCACAGCCAACTGACCTTAAACTCCAAAATTACTATAACTCAGTTAGTTTTTCAGATATTATGGTAAGATTTAGTGCTGTTGAGAGTTATTCCAATATTTAACAGATCCCACGATGCTTTCGTTTACAATTTTGCCATTAACCATTTGCTAATTACTAAATGTTGCTCAAGATTATATTGCTTAAAACTTCAGCAATAACTGTTGGAAGTACCGGTATGCATTTTAAGTCTGAGGAATTATTAACTGCCTTTAAGCATGGCTTAATGGAACATAACCAGGATGAAAAATATGTTAATGAAGTATTTATTAGAATATTTACATTATTTGTTTATTATTCAGTTTTCAAAAATACTTGAAAATTTATTTAACAGCTGATTAGAAAACTTTATAGACAAACATAAAAAACGACACTCAGAGAGTCAATACGGGTTTAAATCAAATAGTTGAACATAATTTACACAATGAGACTCAGTAGAATATATCACTAATCGCATGGACAAAAAGCAGAATGTGGTTGGGTTACTTGTTCATTTAATAGAGGCTTTTGACACAATAGATCATGATATATTATTTGATAAACTGGAATGGCATTGTATTAAAGTGATAGTTTTAAATTGGGTCAAGAGTTACCAGTATTTAAGAAAAAGGCAACAGTTTGTGAAGCTAAATTATGTTTAGTCATTTGTTTGTGGTGTTCCTCAGGGGTTAGTTTTAGGCCCTCGACTGTTTTATTTTATACATTAAAACATTTTCCGTGTGTCTAAAGTGTTAAAAATGGCACTGTTTGCTGATGATATGTGGGTTTTTTTTGTTCTGTTGACAGTTTACAGAATTTACTTAATGAAATGATGACTGAAATTAATAAATAAAATATCTGGTTTATAGAAATTAGTTATCGCTAAATTTGAATAAAACTAAAATAACGTTGGAAGTACTACATCAAATACACAAGTAAAGATTCAAATAAATGGGGTTGATGTAGAAGGGTTTAGTGAAATCAGATTTCTTGGGGTAATAGTGGATGAGAGACTTACCGGTGACATGCTTTTCTTTAGGAATGCAAGGTCTTTAATTATGCCTCATGTTGACCTGAAGCATTCTTGATGTTTACTCTTTTACCTTTAACCACTTTAATCCTCATTGGCTCACGCACGTCGATTTTTCTTTAGATATTATCAGTATAAGAACTAAAGATACTTTAATTTGTTTTTGCTCAGACCAAGTTGGGAGGCTTACGGTATGTGAACACACTACACAGCCATCAGCCACCTTGCTGTTGTGCAACACTCAAATGTTCTGCTGCAGTGGCCAGAACGACCGTGAATAAACACGGCGTGCTTCTATGACATGCATGTGCACGCTGACAGGGCTCAACTTTGTAGGGTAAAAGTGTCATTTGCATAACGACATTGTTTCTGTGTTTCCGCTTGTGATAATGGACCATAAAGCTGATTATGCATGTGCTTAGGTCTGCCTAATCTGACAGATTTTTTTCTGTTCATTTATTGTGATTTAACCTTTTATAAATTTACAATAAACAGTGCTACTTTTCTAAGACTTGTCTTGGTTCACTATTTTTAAGCAAGCCTAGCAACTGTGTTTAAATACGTGCTGGACTTTGCTCTTTGTGTAGATTTCTATGTGCTTCCATCCATTACTGTACTGACTCAGCACATCAGTGATTAATTAGTGGGCAGTGACAGAGGCGGCATTATCAGTTGTGGCCAAGTTCAGTTCAATACGTAAAAAGCCTGAAAAACATAGAAGTCATCTTGGTGAGCTTTTTCTGGTCTTTGAAAGATGTACTTGTTTGCTTTTTTTATTGCCTTGTGGCGTTTTAACGCCTTGCAACTCCACAGTTTCAGTGGTTTGACCTTCTGGTATCTCTTTTCTTTCTGTCCCTCCTTTATGATTTTGTGGTGATAATTAGTTATGCTTATGTCGTAACAGTCGCTGTGGGGTCTTGAGGAACTCGTGAGGTTGACCACAGGGGGGTATGCAGCCACCAATGTGACCCGCTTGCTTCAGTTTTTCCCTTTTAAGTCTTTGCTGTGTGGATCTGTCACAATAAACAGTTTCGGACACTTCCAAATACCACAGACATACATGTATATTTTCAACATACACAACCTTGTGTATACACATGAATCTTTCTTTTTTGTCATTTAGCTGAACCAAATAAAGGATTTGTTGTGCTGAATTTGGTCAGGCTTGATAAAGTATTAATGATAAAGAAATCAACCATGAATTTACTCTTTGGAAATGGAATGTGCCCAACAAATGAGGACACTGTCTCTCTCCTTGTTATTCTCTGTTCTCCGCTCTTCTCAGAGAACATATCTGCATACACATCTGCATACTCCTTTTATTCCTGCGTCATGTTGATTTTCTGCCTGGTGTGAGCCTTGAACAAGACGTCATTTTTCTGAATGACCGTCTTTCACGACCAGCAGAGACCTGCTTCTACTGAGGGAACAAAAGTTAGAATAAACTCACCCCGGAGTTCCAATACCATTGTCTGCTGTTGGATCAAGGAGTGAATGGGTGCTGTGTTTGTGAATTAGGATGAACTGCATGCTTGTTGATGGAAATGCATCAAAGTTTTGATCAATGTTTGTTGCTTTAATCATATCTATTATTACCGGTATCTATATAATATATTTCAGTCATTTATATGCTATTACTTTCTGCCTTTTGAACACATAAAACCTTACAAATGTGTGTTTCCATTGTTTGTTTCAGGTACTCTTCTGCTGAGATCAGAAAAAACTTCAGTGGAAACAATGGCCTGCAACACAGCCGAAACAACTCAAATACTTTGGGCTCAAGCTCACCTTACCTCACGGTGGTAAGAGTTTTCTGCTAACTAACAAACAAACAAACAAACACATGTTTGGAGTGTGGACCTCTTTAAAAAATTAATCAACAGAAATGGTCATGTTATCTTAAAAATGCAACTACGGTACATACTTTTAGACACGCTTCAGAAATAAACAAAATAATTCTGATATATTTTTACTCATATTTCACATACTTTTGTATCTGTGTGCAGATCAACACACTAACATGACTTCTGTTTTGCTGTAATCTAACTTAAATGGTAAATGGTAAATGGAGCTTACTTCTATAGCGCCTTCCAGCCCCCTATGAGGGGCCCCAAGGCGCTTTACAGTACCAGCCATCCACCCATTCACACGCACATTCATACACCGGTGGCGGTGTATGAATGTGCTCATTTAATACTCATTTAGTATGAGTTTAAAATTAATATAACCTGCAGAAATGTTTCCTCTAATTCAACACTCACACAGCATTAGTGTTTGTGTCTGCACCACTTTATAATCATCCTCACATCCTCTTTACTGTCATTAGCCCTGAGAATGTCTGACTCAGTGCACCGTCTAGTCTAGAAGATTAACACTTTGTGTCCGAATAAATCCACTACAAAACAAACAAATGTGTTTTTTGTTTTATCTTGATGCATGCTCAGTAATCCAGGTAGAACAATCTGACAAGGTTAAGTCAGATCCTCTGGATGAATTCTTGTTTGTTGTCAACAAACAAGAATCCATCCAGAGGATTTGACTTAAACTTGTTAGATGTTTTTTGTTTTATTAGGAATTAAAGAAACTGCATTTTCTGAGAAAAGCAGCATGAATGCTGGGTGTTGATTGTTGAATGACTGCAGTAATTTATTTGAGCAACTGACTTACTAAAGATGAAGGAAGTAGAACAGAATGTAAACAAATCAAAACCCTAGCTAAATGCCAAGAAGATTAAAGCAAAAAGCTAGCTAAAAGCTAAATGTAGCTAAAAGCCACATATAGCAAGACTAGTCAAATACTAAAATTAACAAAATATTAACTTAACAAAGTAAAAGGCTAACCAAAAGCTACAAGTATCTCAAAGCCAAATGTAGCAAAAGGCTAGATAAAAGACAAAAGTAATAAAATACTATCTAAAAGTTAAAAGGAGCAAAATGCTATATACAAGTAACAAAATATTAGCTAAAAGCTAAATGTATCAAAAGGCTAACTTGAAGGCAAAAGTATCAAAAGACAAGCTAAAAGCTAAAAATAACTAACTGAAAGAAGCTAAACTATAGCTAAAATCAGCAAAAGCTAGAAAAAAAATGTAATTGTTGTAAAAGGCTAGCTAAAAGCTAAATATAGCTAAAAGTCAAATGTAGCAAGACTAGCTAAATACTAAAAGTACCGGTAGCTAAATATTGGCTAAACAAAGTAACAAGCTAACCTTTGGCTACAAGTAGCTCAAAGCCAAATGTAGCAAAAGGCTATTTAAAAGACAAAAGTAGTAAAACATTATCTTAAAGTTAAGGATTCAAGGTTCTTTATTTGTCGCTCGTACCACACGTTACATGTGGTGGAACAAAATTGTGTACACAGGGTCCCAGTTGCATCCAATTAAAGTATAACATGTAAAATAAAAAAAACTGTAATAAGATCTAAGATATGAATTAAGAAAAATTTTAACAAAAAATACACTAAGCACTAATGGTATAAAAACATTATGCCGAACAGCAGCATGAACATAAGTCTGTGTGAGCAGATGAGTACGAATGAATGAACACAGCAGCATGAAACGGATCAGCATGATGTGATTTTTCACAGTGATTTACCCTGGTTAGATATTCATGAGTCTACAACAGCTTCAGGGTAGAAGCTGTTTCTCAGTCCAGTGGTTCTACATTTAATGCTCCTTAACCTTCTGCTTGAGGGGAGCAGAGCAAAAAGTGCATGTGCTGGGTGAGTGGGATCCTTCATGATGCAGGTGGCCCTCTTCCTGCATCTGGAGGTGTAGATGTTTGTGATGGTGGGGAGACTGACTCCAACAGTCTTCTGTGCTTCACCACTCTCTGCAAAGCTTTTCTTTCTGCAGCTGTGCAGCCTCCATGCCACACGTTGATTCTGGAGCACAGGATGCTCTCCACTGCACACCTGTAGAAGGAGGTCAGGTGCTAAAAGGAGCCAAATGTGCTACAAGTTTCAAAACACTAGCTAAAAGCTAAATGTAGGAAAAGGCTAACTAGAAGGCAAAAGTATCAAAATACAAGCTAGAAGCTAAAATGAACAAAATTAACTGGAAGTAGTGAAACTAGCTAAAATTAGCAAAATCTAGAGAAAAGCAAATTGTTGCAAAAGGCTAGCTAAAAGCTAAAAGTAAGAAAGCATTAGCAAAAATCAACAAATTAGAAGTTGGATTCCAAAAACAATACAAAAAAGTAGAAAACAAGTAAAAAAAAGTGTTAATGCTGACTCAGCGTTCACACACTAATCCTTTTTGGATTCTAAGTATGAGCACAAACGCATAAGGATTAACATGCTTAATGTTTTTACTTGGTGTGGAAAACTAATTCCTCTAAATTTCTGAGTCAAAGAATGATTTCTCGCTGGTTCTTTTTTTCCCTTCTGAGTTGAAGCAGACATTCAGAGTGATTCCTTCTGTTTGTAGTCGAGCAGACAGAATGATGCACGGTGATTCGATGCTCAGACTTGGTCCCCTCCGAGTGTCTCTTTCTGCCTTTCAGTATTTTATTTTCCTAGTTTGTCTTTTTTCTTTATTCCTACTCTTCCACCCTTAATTTTTGTCCCTCAAAGTTTTCATAAGCTTTTAATTTAGTTGCTGTGTGATGTAGCTTAAAGTTTTTAAAATATTTACCAAGAAATGATCTTAAAGTTGAAGTAGCAGTACCTGGAGCAACCATCTCGCACCACCAACGGCTCCATCCAAGACTGTTAATCTCTAACCTGCTTGGGAAATGGGTCATTGCCTTTGCTGCTGACTGGCTCTGGATGGGTCTGCTTACCTTGCAGCTTACGGAGGCAAATCTTTAATATGTCTGGATTTGGGATGGGAGAGAGGGGCTTTAATACTATAATCTGTGGGATGGTAGTTTCGTATTATTCAGCAGTCATGCCTCATGTTTTTATATTTTTAAAAAAAAAATTCTGCAGCTGCGCTTGAAATTCCAAATGTTGCATGAAAGAGTGAGACATAAAAAGCCTTGTGTTAAGTCTGTGTTTGTGTAATACACGTGCTTGTACTTTCTGTTCCTGTGTGTTGTAACGCTGTTTGATGGAGGGACTCCTTTAGTGCGGTCACTTCCTTTAATTTTTTTTTGTCTTGAAGCTGTAAAGCTGTAGGCGTGAAGCTGCATTTCAAGCTTTATTTAATTATTTAATTCTGAGCGACGATCGACCCCCTCCAATCGTTTGCTTTGGTTGCTTTGGCTTATACCAAACTTTTTACCTTCTAGGAACATGAAGCTGAAGACAAACGGGATCTGTGTGCCGGGTTGTGACACAGACTCAGCATAAAGCATTCAGCGTCAGTAAAACGCACGGTTGTGTAGGTTCCTATATCCGGAGTGCGCCATTTTGTACACTTCCTTTTTTTATAGTGCGCTTTTCATTTGTCAGCAGGGTAAGTCTACGATTTCGGTTTGAGCACCGGCATATAAAACTGAAAATAAGTTTAGTAACAATCAAGACTGAGACTGAAAATGGCTGTTCTGTTGTAGAAACATTGCTTGTCTTGACTTCCTGCATGTCTATCATCTCTCCTGGCTCGTTTCTTGCCTCTGCACATTGACAGCGGAAGGATGTGTTGGATGATTTACCTTGTTTTTAACAAGAACATATGTTTCTACAGAAAATAAATGCATCAAATCAACTACAGCTGTAAATTACCCTTAAAGAAATTGTGTCTTTTATCGTAATATTGATTCAAGTCATCACTTAGTATGCAATGTGTATTTCCACTCTGTCATATTTTGGAATACTAGTTTTCATTGGTCCACAGAGTATATTAGTCATTGAGTAAGCTGATAAAAATGCTGGCATTTGATTTGGCAGGTCATTTTAGTTTCCCCCCTCTGGCCTCTCTGATGACTCTGCAGAGCAGCATCAGAATCGCACATGGATTAGCTTCTTTTTTTTCTCAGCTCAGTGCAAAACTAGAAAAAGACGCTGTGCTCCGATCCAAAGAAGACACACAACGCCCCTGCTGAGGTTTTGTTAGCTTTTAGGTTTACACCTCTGCTATCAAACAGATCTGTTATTTACAACGGCACACTTGTTCCCTTTTATCGTACTCTTCTCTTCATCGTGTGCTGAATGGAGGGAAAGAAAAATGTGCTTCGGGGTTTGCACTAATGTGCAAAAACATGTCTAAAAGCAGCTGGAATTTTTCTCTGCTTTCAAAAGTTGAGCGGATCAGTGACTCATGTTGTTGCTGCAGAAATTCACACCCCGTCCATTTACATAATGTATGTTCTACCTCTGTGCCCCACACACGCACCTCAAACTCATTTTTATATATTTATGAATGAATATGAGCACGATTAACCTTCTAAATATTTAGTTGCATGCAGTTTGTTCTTCTTTTCCTTGTACATTGCTTTCTAAACTTTCCTCTGCAGCCTTTAATCAGATTGGAAATCTGCCAGTCTGCTGCCACTTCCCGCAGAAACACCTGCTCTGTCCAGGTTCCTCTTTTTTTAACCAGCTAGCCTCACAAAAAGGATGTGTATCTTATCAGTTGGGCTATTTTGTTTTTTCTAATCGAACAAAGCTCACTTCTTTTAGGTTTGCTACATAATACAGTATGTTGTTGATGCTAACTGTATCTACTGTGCTAACATCTATATTTCCACTGTGCATAAAGATAAGCACAGCTTTATCTTTGATCTGCCAATGCAGAATGTATAATTTGAGATTTCTATCTAAAAATAGGTGAGGGGAAAAAAATGTTTGCTCATCTGAACTGCAGAGTTCCAGTTTCTATTTTTGTCTGCGCTTGTGTGTTTTTGCTCCAAGACAGGTATTAGAAAATAATCAGGAATCAACATGTCTGGAGCGGACTTTGTTACAGCTTTCTGTTCCGTGTGAGGGTTCTTAGGTTAGACGCAGGACTGTATAAACTCATCATCCACAAGCCCTAAAGGGTTTTTTTCTTCCGTTTTGTTGAAGTGGGAATTTTTTTGCTCATCTCATCAGACAATATTGCATGCTTTCCGTTTAGTGGGTAAAGATGTTGTAATACTTACTGGTATTAAACTTTTATGACACATTTTCCCAGAAAATTATGCAATTTTCCCACTTTGGATCTCCCATTGTTGACATCCGCTGAAGGTGCACTTTTTGTTTGTGTATATCAAGGTGTCTGTAGCATTGGCAAACTCTTTACTGAAACCGTGATCACTAGATGGACATCTTCAACTCAAATGTTTGGAGTCAACCCAAGTCAAAATGGCTATAACAACAAATCTGACCGATTTTGAGCTAAATTTTGGTGTGCTACTAGCTGAGAGTCATCTTCAGCACATACTGTGTCTATTAATAGATGAGACCTGTTTTTCAAACTTTACCATAAACTATAGCAGTCAAGTCTGCCTGTCTGTTAGCAAAATATCTTTTCAACAATAAGTTTTAAATGAAACATTATGAAAGTAAGCATTGAATGCACATTTACAACTCAGTGACTTCTGGAGTCAACCTGATTCAAGGTGACCGTCACATCTAATCAATATTAGTCAGCAGAAAAATGACTCCAACCTGGAGCTGAAGTTTGGCCTGGTTGTAGCTGAGAGTCATTCCCAACACATACTCAGCCTTACACATTGTGTTAAATCCTTGTTTTAAGCAAAGATCTAACACTTGTTACACACTGTTGGCATCAGCACTGTTTATCTTATTAACCACTGGACAGAGTTTAGTGAAAGTCTCTGCAAGCAATTATTGGATTTTCATCTACAACTCGTTAACTTTTAGAGTCAACCCAATTCAAGATGGCCTCCACATCCAACCTTAGCCTACACAAAAATGGTTATAGAGTAGTCCCTCACTTATCACGAGGGTTACGTTCCCCCCGCCCCGTGATAGGTGAAAAACCACGAAGTAGGAATGCTATATTTATTTTAATATGTATAAATATTTTAAGGCTTTATAAAACCTTCCCACACTCTTGCAATGTTCTAAACTCTTAAACCTATGTCATTTTAACAACATATGTATATGTACTGCACAGCACTGCAAAATTTTACTCACCAGCTCTGCAGAACATTAGCTCGGCTCCGGTCGGGCTCGGTCCCGGTTCTGCAGACCTACCCTGCAGCAATGAAGCCCACTGCCCCGTCCAAGTCGATATGTGTGTGGATAATTGAGCTTCAGGATTATTTGCAACTTTCCTGCCAGTTCTGTGAGCTTAATAAATAGCGTAGATCTGCATTGCAAAACTTTCCCTCCATTTCGGCAGAAAGCAGCGGCCGGAAGCACTGTTGGCTTCTGGGTAGTGTAGTTCTTTTGACTAGCTTTAGAGTGTAGGCATATTGAAAAAACTACAAAATGGTGGCGCCTTTTTGCGTCCGAAGTATATTTTTTCATTAGCTTTTTATCCCGTACCGCCCCAATCACGTGAGTAATATTTAAAGTTTATAGTCATTAAAAAACCGAGAGAGCGAGTCCGCAAACATCAAACCGCAAAGTAGCGAGGGACTACTGTATTTCAAGCACCAACAGATCAAATTAAATCTTGCACAGCACATGAGAGCATAAAGTCATTTTTGACCAAAACGGCTAACTCTGTAATTTCTCATCATAAGATGATCTTAGATTAAAACTCTGGAATGAAAGGCGGTGAGCGATAAGCGTTACTTCAAGAAATGCGAGACCTTTTCATCATTCTTTGCTTGAGTGCTCAGTTTGGATGTTTGATTCTTCTGCTATTCATTGCTGGATGTTCTGATCCCACCTCTTCTGGACTCCTCAGCCTCTGGCGTACGAAGCGGTGGAGCCGTTGGACCTGGAGGAGTTCCTGATGTCACAGTTACGAAGCGAAGACAGGGCTCTGATGAACGAACTTGGAGATTTTCCCGACGACGACCTGCGAGTGGAGCAGGTGGAGAGGGAGCGGCGCACCGTCCGGAACTCGGTCCCAGAGCACGGGTGGGTTTCAGGCCAAAAATGTTTAAATGAAAAGAACTTCTGAACTCCTTTTTATAAAGGAAAATATTTATATAAAATAATATCAAAGTCAAAGTTTCTTTATTTGTCATACACACCACATGTGGTACATGTGGTGGAATGAAATCGTGTACACAGGGTCCCATTTACATCCAACAAAGTATTAAAATGTAAAAGAAAAGCAGTAATAAGATCTAAGATATGAACTAAGAAATATGTTAAACTAAAAATACGCTAAGCACTAGTAGTACAAAAACAATACACCGAACATCAGCACAAACATGAGTCTGTGTGAGTAGGTGAGTACGAATGAACACAGGAGTGTGACGTAAATCAGCAGCATGTGATCAGCAGCATGGATAATCAGCAGCACATATCAATAATCAAGTGGCATCCAAGACATTGTTCACAATAGCATTTTAATGTAATATTACTATGTAATAATTATATTTAAACATGTATAAATAAATATAAATTTGTGTATATAAATAAATTAATATACTATGTAATATCTGTAAATATGTAGAAATAATATGTAATGTAATAACATTATTTATATTGGCAACAGCTGCCTTATTCATGTGTTGTTTTTTTATATATGCTTCAGGGAAACCCATGCAGTTTCACACAGATTTGGAAAAATACTTGAGCAGAATATTTAAACCTGATAGCCTTCATTTATTCTAAAACTATTCAATATCTGCGTGTTATCTTAGTTGATTCAGAACTTCTGAATGTTCATTAACTTGACCATGAATTACATATTAGGATGAGCAGAATTTAAAGGTCTTATGATACTATGGATGCCTGCACGCATATTTGACTGTAATTTGCTTTTGCAGAGTGGATTTAGATTCACACGTAAAAGACTGTGTGAAGAGCTACACACAGCCATGGCTCATCGTCACCAGAAGGTAAATGCTACCTCGTTGTTTCCTCTAATCATGTCAATACAGATTTCTACCATCTGTCTATATTTACTGAGACCTCTGTGTAATATTGTCTGCGGCTGGTTATTGGCGTAGATGCGTTTTTATTGTAGCTATACATCTAATTTCTTGAATTTGCTTGACTTTTGTCTCTGTGTGTGTGTGTGTGCGTGTGAAGGTGTCAGGGGGATGGCTGGATCACGTACTCGGAGCGAACTGGCCTAAATAAAAGTCTTCAGAAACAAATTTTTGAGTCTGACGTTCAACCGCCAAACAAAGACAAACCAGTAAGTAACACAAGTCACTCTCTGAACGTTTGTGTTTTTCTGTGATGAATAGGAAATTTAAGCAGTAATTATTATTATTTTTTTATATCTATGATGTTGTTTAAATGTGTTTAAGGGATTGTTCAGTTTGTTTAAAGTGAAGTTCTGTGGAAAGGTTGTGAGCAGTTAATATCCTACCTGTTGCAGATGCCTTTTTGAATTACATCCGTTTGAAGAAATTGAGTTTAGCTCTGACCAGATTGACAAGCTCATGTCGAGTCTGAGCAGGGCCATGACCATAAACCTTTACACCACTGTTAATTTATCATTACATGTTTATTTAATCTAAATATTTTGGTTTTCATGTCCGAACATTGGTTCTATGTTCGGATAATATGCTTGTTGTTGCACATTACCGTATTATGCCACATATTTAGTTTGTTTTGTGCCACAGAAATTGAGGTATAATGATATAAAACTTGGATGTTGTGGATGTTAAATGTTGAATAAAAAATAATAATAAAGATTTCATTCATTTAGTTCTTGAAAGCCAAATAAACTCCTCGCTCTTCCAGTTTTCATGCAAATCATCCTGTTTCCTCCCGTCGACACATGGATATCAGTGCACATCCCAAAATATTAAACGCCACTTTAAAAGAGCAACAAAACCCACTTAGTGCATGGATGCCAACAAGCTGAGCTTATTTAAAGTCTCTTTTGTGAGCAGAGGACACTCCAGCCAGTGCAGTATGGCAGTCCATACTGATCAAGGCCTGAGAGACATGACTGTGAAATGTGAGGGGGCGGGTGCTTTAAAACTGAACACAACAGTGTGTTGTTTTGTGTTGTTATTCCCATCACTCTCTCCTCAGCGCCAGTGGCTCTTTCAAGTTTACTCAGACTGGCGTGCACGGAGCTAAAAGTGAACATTTAAGACTTCACCCTCTCACTGTTGATGTTTAACTAGACTCCTTATTGCTCGCTGCACAAATTTCGAGTAATATGCATGCAACAAACTGATAATTACCATTTATATGAAGTTCTGAGCTACAGGTCACTTCATGCCCACTCTAGTTTCCTCCCAACAGCCAATCGGCATCAATCCAACCTTCGGCTCAGCCCCTGCTGCCCCTCTTCTGTTGCTCCATTTTTGCTAGTTCTGGTTAATCACCCAAACCCAAAAGGCCTCCTATTACGGCTGCAGGATTCCCATCATCTGTCTGCCAGAGAGAGAGAGAGGGGGGGGGGGGGGGGGTGCCAGAGGAAAAGGAAGAACGGCACTATTGTCCATCAGCCCCTAATAGCTATGGGCCAATCTGCTTTGACAAAAGCCCCGGGTTTGTGGTGCGATGGTCTCTTGAAGCCTGAACCAGGCGAAGCTTCACTATGGGTGGATGCTCGGTCAGTCCTGCCCCGTAGTGTGAAAGCCTGGATGTGATTCTGATGGATGATGGGAGTGAAAGAGACAAGAAGAGAGGGTGGCGAAAGGGGAATGTTCCGATGGTGCAGCAAGTGAGCAGTGCAGTTACGCCGAACCCAGTTTAGGCTGAGTACTGTCAGTAGGAGAGATTTCACTTTTTTAATTTATGCTTAAAATAGAACCATTTATCAATTAACAAGACCGCTATATTTGTTAATCTTTTTTAATAATTTGGTGAACATATCTGCTTCTGAACAATTCCACGTGTTTGCGTGTATTTCTGCAAACATTAGGTCAAAAAAGGAATACCATACTTTTCGCCATATAAGTCGCACCTTTTGGCATAAAGCAGCGTGCCTGCGACTTATACGGCAAAGCGACTTATTGATGGTTTTTTTTCCCCATATTTATAACCCAATCTTTGGCTGAGATCTGACGATTTCATTCATTCTGACATGGAAAATGTTGAACATTACCATTTTCTGCTGCTAGAGGGCCCTCTAGCCTTATGGCAAGTAAAGTGTCTCATTAATAGGTAAAAGTGGCTATTAATGAGACACTTGGCTTGCCATACAACGCCACCTTCGTCTCGCTCTGCACCGCCTAGCCGAAATGCAGCTGATTTGACCATTAAAAGTGCATTTATTAAGGAAAAATTCAACTGAGACACTAATGTCGAGCAAACAAATAATTGTTTTGAGGTGGTTGTCTGGTTAAATTTAGAAGAAATGCACAGCGAGTCCTCCATCAGCGCGCTCCCGCCACCGCAAATCTATTTTTGAAATGCAGCCGATTTGATCAATATAATGGAAATAATAGGAAAAGTTAAACTGAAACACACCTTTGCTATAATGTCAAGCAAACAAATAATTGTTTTTAAGTGTTAATCTTGTTAAATTGATGTTAAAGTCCTCCCATGCATGCTCCCGCAGCTGCCATTTGCAGCCAATCGATTTTTCACACAACACCAGCCCATGTTTCCAGGTGGTCAGCGGTGACTCATAATAGATGCAACGTATTTATGTTTTTTTTTTCCACTTTATTAGACATATTTGGACTGATGCGACTTATACAGCAGTGCGACGTGTACGGCGGAGAGTATGGTACATTCTTTTCATGAGAAATTTTTAAAATGGCATAATGTTTGTGAAAACATAGTGTTGTGCCACCATATTGTGGTATTGCAGTGGTTTTATTGCAAGTTTTCAAAACACTACAGCATATCTGAAGAAAAGCTATAATGTTATAGGAAGAATAATTTTGTTTTACTTTGAAAATTCTAAGATGGTTTCTTTGGTATGCACCAACAAAACTGGTTTGTTCCACTTTGGAGTAAGCTGTTGGGGGAAGAATCAGTTTTGTGTTGTGCGTTTCCTTGACTGATGAAGGCTTCCGGATCGAAGGCGAAATGTTTCAGCACAAAAAAAGAAACTGTCCAGATGACCTGAATGAAAAATGTTGGATCGTATACCTGGATTATTGAGCATGGACTTTGTCATAAGTGAAACATTTTAAAGTAGCTTATCTTATGTTTTGTACATGAAGTGAGCCATGTTCAGAAATTCTCAGGAGACTTTTTTTTTTTTTTTGGTCTCAAGGCCAGAACGAGACAATCCAGACATCATAAACGCCTCTAAGCTGTTTATTTTGTCTCCTGCCAACAGAACTGTGGAGTCTGCATTTTTCAGTTGGTGTGTATCATGGTGATGCAATGCTTTTCAATTAAAGGGTTATAATTCAGTTGTTTTATATTAAGAGAGACGTGTAAAACTTATATTTTTCTACACCTGATTTAATCCTGTTGTCTAAACTAAGAAAAATAAAATGTTCTGTGTTCCCTAAATATCCTGCTTTTCTGGATCTTTATCTTCCATTTGATTTCTGTGTTTAAGATACTACTCCAACCTGAACCACAGCTTCAACCTAACCTTTTTTTTTCTCCATTTCTGCCCCAAATCAAGTCTCCTAGCCTAGCGGGGTTAACGGACGAGTCGGGTCGCACACTGACTTCGTCTGACTTTAACTTGCGAAGTCTGACCCCGGACCAGAGAGTGGAGAGCTTGCTGGTGTTCAGCAACCACGAGGAGCTTGATCGCTTGAATCAGGAGGTGCGGCAGGAAAACAGGCTTCCCGAGCTGTTTGCTCTTTACCCACCACCTGACGAGGTGAGGTGTTGCTGCAGGACACGCTACAGTAGACATCCTGTTGTCGACCGATGCTTGTGCACTTAAAGTGAGCTAGTTTTTGTCCCAGATAAGCGCCAAAGACAGACTACACAACTTTTAACTCAAAATGAGTGCATACAAATAGGTTTTCCCAACATTGTGTGTTTTAGTAAAACATAATTTGTCCTTAAGAGTTTTATCCATCTCCCCCTTAAGAAAGCTGAGAATTGAGGTTTTTATTTGTCTTATTTAAAAACATTAACACGTTTTTTATGCATGAGAAGTATTAATTGTCATTAGTATTAGATATAATGCAACATTTAGCCTTTAAACAAAATACAATTTTTAGATCATTAACCCATGACTAATTTAATAATCAAAACAGAAAATGTAATTTATTTTTAATTTTATAATTACTAAGTTCAAAATGTGTTGTTTTGTGTCATAGTTGATAAAGGCATCTCACACGTAAATATCTAGAGACTTTGAGCAGTTGCTCACACAAATCAAGAAATTTTAGAGAACATGGAAACTAGCAAAAAAAAAAAAAAATATATATATATATATATATTGACATTCTACAAACTAAATAATTTTTTTATAAAACGTTCTACAAATAAGTGTTTGTTCACCTTTTTATTTTTGTCTTATTTGTATAAATGTTCCCCAAAATTCAACTTACATTCTAAGTTAACGTTAAACATTGAACTCTTAACACCCTGTTCAGTCATGAATCTCAACGTTTTTATTTTATTTTATTTTATCCATGTTTTCTTATTTTAAGCTGCTTGATATTTTAATTAAATTACATTTTCCCTCGCCGTGTTCCAGGACGACGCAGTGGAAATCCGTCCCATTCCCGACTGTCCCAAAGAACACACTGGAGAACGCATCCTGGTCCGATGCCAGGCCATAAAGTATGTCATACATTTTATTTTGTCGTAGGACGGAGAATAGTTCTGCCGTTCCAACCGCTTATTGTTTACTGTGCAAGATGGACACGGAGTAAAGCTGCTTGAGTAAAATTTAATTAATCAAACACCCGCTTGTTCATGAAGAAAGAGCTTATGTGGTGTGTTTAGCATTTTTCTGTTTCTTCTTTTCATGAAGAACAGAGCTGTGTGTAAGGATGGAGGAAGGTTGCTTGGTGTTTCTTTTTCTCTGTAAAAGTCTGTATTCCTCCCTTGTTCTGTGTGTGGGGGGGTGTCACTTTAACATTATTGAACAGTTTTGTGGTTTCACGCTTGTCCTCGTGCAGCTCGTACGACTGCCAAACGTTTGTGCTGAACTGACTCCTCGGCTTGGGGTGGTTTGGCAACATCACCTCTGATCCAGTCCAGTTCAAAACGCCATCACTTACTGTTTAGTTTCTTCCCTGCAGAAAAACAGCAAGTTACAGGAATAGAATCTATTTTAGAGGTTGGGGAATGTAAAAACTGAATTCTGCTTCTTCTTTTTTTACTTTTACTGAACTATATATTATTTCTTTTTATTTCAGGTTTGAAATTGACATTGAGCCAATTTTTGCCACCATAGCCTTGTATGACCTGAAAGAGAAGAAAAAGGTAAGATAATTGCTTGTTGCTCAAGGTCCTGTCAGGTTTTGCAAGTTTATCACCTGAAGGGGAAGGCAAAAATGTTTGTTTTTCGTTCAAAGCACTATTTCTCTTCGTTTTATAGTAAAGAAACAGCCTGAATCTTATCATCGCCATGTTCAAATTTGACATATAATATTAATGGGTCTAAACATATTTTGATGGCTTTTACTAATCTGTAAAAGCGTTGGCTGTTTTTAATTATGAGATGCTTTTCAGGGATTGTAATTGTTTTGTTGTGAAAGAATGAAACACTCTTATTAGTGGTTTGGGCGGTGTACGAAATATAAAATTGTTAAGCAATTATTTAGCTTGGTAGCACGCCTTATTCAGTATTAAACTGTGAATGAAGCAGTGGTGGAGAAAGTACTCAAACACTGTACTTACGTAAAAGTGCAAATAAACAGAAAAAAATGTACTCTAGTAAAAGTAGAAGTATTACATTAACATTTTTACTTAAGTTAAAATAAATAAGTACTTGCTTTTAAATATACTTCAAGTATTAAAAGTAAAAGTACCTGCTGAATTTTCCTTAGTTCATATCTTAGATGTTATTACTGTTTTTCTTAGACATTTTATTGTTGGATGTAACTGGGACACCGTGTATATAATTTCGCTCCACCACATGTACCACATGAGGTGCGAATGACAATAAAGAAACTCTGACTCTGACTCTGAATGTATTACCTAATGCAATGGTCTACATATCTTTAAGTGTACCTACCGTATGTATATTTTCTGTAATGCATTAATAGTGTTGATCCATTTTAATGAACAATGCTGCAGATAATACATGTTTTTATTGTGTTTACTCTGTGACACAGTTCACACTTGGACTTGTGATTCTGTGCATCAGAATCTCAGGGATGACATGCAGAGTTAAATATCATTAAGCAAAATAAGAACGAGGAATGATTTTACCTTTTGACAGTTTTTATTTAACACAAAGCAAAACTGATGTCATTTTAACTGAAGTAAACAGATTTAAGTAAAAGTCATCTGCCTGAAAAAAGGAGCATTAGACCTAACAAAGGAACAGGCACTGATCATTTCAACTGCAGTTTGTCATCAACTCTACTTAAAATACTGTCTGATCAACCTTGTAATGAGTCAATACTGAACAATATTTTAACTTCCTGACACCATTTTCAAAACTGGACCCGAGTGTCGAGTCATTTGGAAACATCTCTTGTCTCCTAACATCCCATGAAATGACACATTTTAATATTGCAGCAAGAATTTCTTGTTCAAGTTCAGAAGAAGTTGGTTTTCAAAGGTTTTGAGTCCAATCCGGCTCTTTTGAGAGAGAAAATCTGTCCTGCTGTAATGAATAATCTTTCAATAATCTTTCAATAATCTTTCCGTAAATCTATGGGTGGCATGTATCTTCTGGCTGACTCTCCACGGTGGAATCCATTTTGGTTGTGTTAGTGGTGCCGTGGGTGCTCCCAGCTCAGTGACATGTATAATATAGGTCATTGGCCCAGCTCTTCTTAAAGGCAGGTCTAACGTTACCTGTCCACTTTGCAGTGATTCAATGGACCAAGTCTCCTCTCGTCATTGGTAACTTTCAAACTAACGAACAAATCAAAAAACCGCAACATGCATGCAACATGTAACGCATTATAGAAATGTAGTGTAAGTACAGATACTTAATGTAAAATGTAGTGGAGTAAAAGTCGAAAGTACCCATGTTTAACTCTACGTAAGTAAAGTACAGATACATGAAAAAAAGTACTTAAGTACAGTAACAAATTACTTGTACTTGGTTACATTCCACCACTGGAGTGAAGCTATAAAATCTTAACTATTTCAGTTGCTGTTAGAGGTTTATTTAATAGATCCGATATTTTAATTGGTGGGAGTATGTTTTAGAAAAAAAATAAGAGGCAACAAAGATGGTTTATTAACTTATAGCTTAATGATGAAAAGTGAACACGCTTACAAATGGCAAATGATTACAAATTGCTTTCTTTTTTTAAAAAGTCTAAAATGTACAAAAAGAAAAACATCATATTTCTCCTGTTTATGCATTGTGTTTGAGGTTATTTGTATGACAGCGAAGGATTTATGTAAAAGAGCATCATCCTCTTTTTTTTTTTTTTTTCCCTGTTCCTAAGGGGTTGTCGTGTTTCGTTCTGCAGCCACTAACACTGCGCCGTGTTTCTCCACTCAGCTACTGAGCCACGGCTGTTTGGATGTTTTTCGTGGATTTGCAAAGGATTCTTCTCTGGGTGAAAGGGCTGGAAAGATTAAGTGCTCATGGATCTCTCAAATGAGGCTTTTAGCATATTTTTTGCCACCTCCCCCTTCTTTTCAGCGCTGTCCTCATTCTTTCTGGACTAAAAGCTGTAAAAAATTCTCTTGGGTGAGAGAAACAGACATTTAATGCCTCATTGTTACAAATGGAAGGCGCACTTGGTGATTTAGGGTGTTTTTATTTTTCACTGTATCATCTCGTTGACGGTGACACTGTATAAAATGTCAAATTTATGTTAGATATTAAAAAGTACCGTTGCACTTGTGCTACTTTTCATGTCACACTTTATAAACAGTTGTGACATTTTCCTGTCTTATGATTAAAATGACAACATCCTGCAAAGCTGACATGGATGGTAATGAAGGGTTAACAATAGACGCTGACAATAACGTCATGGCCTCTTGCCTTCAGCATTGAATGATTAACAACCATATTGTCTCCATTTGACTGAAAGAAAAGCTGACTGTCTTGTTTTGTGACATTTAAATGCAGCCAAATAAGTATTTACCTTGAAGCCACTTCCCTCTAAACATTTCACTTATGATGCTTTAGTTTTTCTTCCTTTTTTAAAAATCCATGTTTTACTTGTTTCTCAACCGCTTTAAACTCTTCTGTTCTCCTGCGTTCCCAGCGTCTGCAGTTTGGGTTTTTTTTTTTGTTCGTGTCACTCATGCTCTACGTTTTTGAAATGTGCAGCAGATGTGTCCATGAAGTTCCGTTTTAATACTCTGGTTATTAAACGTGTATCTCTGGTCCATCAGCCAGCGTGCAGCGGCAGATTTTGACCCGACATGTGGCCTACTTATGAAAGCCTGGACTTAAAACAGACAGAGGTTTTATAAAGCGTGCACGCAGAAGACTGAGCAAAACAAAAGTCAACATTGTGCGATTTTTTTTTCTTTTCTTTTGCAAAACCTGTTTATTTGGGAAACCCTGCATTACAGTGTTTGCGGGCAAGATATTTCTTCTTCACCTGAAAATGACTGTCAGTAAAATATATAAAGTGATTTATACAGTAGAGTCGTGCTGCAGAACAGGGGTCTCCAATCACCAGGTCCATGGATCATCTGGTGCCTGGTTACACATAAATAATTGCAGCTAACCTACAAGCTAACCTCATAAAAAATATATATATATATATATATTATTATTACAAGGTTTGAAACTTGACAGAAACTGCTGCCTAAAAGACTGTAGACTGCTACTCAAAACGTCTGCAGTAAAGTAACATGTGGTTATTCCAGCAGCTGCCATTAAGATGTTTTTTGATTGAAGCTGTATAAATAGTCTCACTTTACTTATTTAGCAACAGCAGATGTCCTCCATCAGACAATCCAAAACTTGTCTGATGTGAACACATAAGCACATTATTACTTTTAAGACGTGACTTTGAAGAGGTTTATTACATTACTTGTGTCACATTTAGTCCAAATTTAAAAGTCACTGTAAATATGGTTCACTCATAATTTGTTTGACATTTATTTTTATTGGGTAGATAAATTATTTTTAACATTAAAGGCCTGACATGCTTCACAGGAGTATATATCGCATACAAATATCCGTGCAAAAGTTTCAGACGAAGATCACTTAATGTTGAGAAAGGTTATAACTTTTTGTTCAAACGTTGGAGATTTCATACTACTGCGCCAAGTTTTAGCTCAGAATCTGTAAAATTGTCTCGGATGTAGCCTTTTTTTATTTTTAAAGTCATTTGGCTGTAGGAGCCATCTTGAATTGGGTTTAGTCCAAAGTTTATCAGTTGTAGATGTTCATCCAATACTTTCTTTTTGCAAGTTTCATTAAAGTTTGTACTAAGATAAAATGCACTCACAAGCGCAAGTAAAACACATTTGCTTTCCTTTATAGATCTGTCAGCTAGTGAAGATATTTCTGCAATTTCAAGAAGCGGATTGCCAGATAAAATAAAAATAAAATACTATTATGTGCCTAATTTTAAATAAGCAGGGCCATTTCCATCACAACATTTTTATGATTTTTGTATTCTGGCTTGTATTCTGACCAGATTGAACTTTTTTGGATTTTTCTACCTGGATTATTGAGCATGCATCAGGATATTCTGGCTTGTTACACTACTACGAGTTGCAGAGATTAAAGTATGCCACTTATCCAATTGTGCAGTTTGGTCAGAATGTGTTTAATTTAAAGGAATATATTTTCTGGCTTGTTTTGGTTTTCCTTATTTGCTCTGGCCTGTTCGGTGTGGCAGAGGTTTTGTAGTATGAGCGGTGAGGTTAAAAGCTCTGCTCCGATTAGGATCACATGACGCACATCAGGTCCGGTTAGACCAGAACATATGGCCGTGTTCCTGCCCTGAGGTCATTTAGAGGGACAAAGGAAAACTATAGTGTGGACTTAACCATTTCAAATAAGCCTCCAGGGCTTTTTTTGGTGCTGCAGTTTGTTTGTTTTTCCTAAGAAACACCTTTTTTGAGTAATATTGTATTGTGCTCTGTATACTATAATATAATAACAAAATTCAATTTTTTTTGTTTTTATTAATGTATAGGGTAAATGATGTTTTCTCTCCAAATCTGAATGTTTAAATTCATTTTTCTCCCTGCAGATATCAGAAAACTTCTACTGTGATCTCAACTCAGAACAGTTTAAAACCTTTTTGAAACCTCATACTCCACACATGGATTCCTCGACACTTGCTAGATCTGGCATTTTCTCCATTACCTACCCTTCTCCAGATATATATCTGGTCATAAAGGTAACAAAATCCAATTTACTGGTTAAAGTAGTGTGAAAAATATAACAAAAGTAGAAGAATTTTCTTTTTTCTCATCTTGGCTTTAAACAGTCTTGTAATTTTATGCATTCCTGTATATTTCCTCGCAAAATACGTATTTTTTTAAGTGCTGAACTCCACAGATGACTGTATCTCTTCCTGTCTGTATTTCAGATTGAGAAGGTTTTGCAGCAAGGAGAGATCAGCGAGTGTGCTGACCCGTATCTAACAATGAGGGAAAGTGACTCATCGAAGGTAACGTCACAAAGCAATTTCCTTCTTGTCAAATTGTGCAGAAAAATTATGTCCATTTGGCTTTTCCTTTTGCTCAGGTCACATTAATGCTTACTGTAGAGATCATCTTTGTTGCTACAGCTGACGTAAACACATTTTATGATAAATCATTTTCAGAACAAGGACAAGCTCGAGAAGCTGCGATCCCAGGCAGAGACGTTCTGCCAGAAGCTGGGCCGCTATCGCATGCCTTTTGCTTGGGCCACTGTTAATATCATGGAAGTCATCTCCACCGCTACACTTGACCGCGACGTCACAGATTCTGACAGCACTAAAGGAGGTGTGTTTAAATTTCTTTGTTAAACAGAAACAAAACCAGTCACTATTGCGCACAAGCCAGTGTATCTCTTGTGCCAGTCCCAAGCCTGGATAAACGGTGAGGGTTGTGTCAGGAAGGGCATCCAGTGTAAAACACTTTTACATAAACAAATATGTGAGTTTGTCCAAATCACACCATACCGGATCGGTTGAGGCCTGGGCCTACCTCCACTGGTGCTGTTGACAAACAGGGTGCCGGCGGAAATTATGCTACTGTTAATCAAAGACCACCAAGAGGGAAATGTGTCAAGAGACAGAGGGAGAAGAGGAAAGTCAAGAGTGTAATGCTGAGGATGGCAACTCTAAATGTGGAGACAATGACAGGCAAAGGTAGAGAGCTGGCTGACCTGATTCAGAGAAGGAAGGTAGATGTGTCCAAGAGACCAAGTGGAAGGTCAGCAAGGCTCACAGCTTTGGAGCAGGGTTCAAACTGTTTTACCATGGTGTGGATAGAAAGAGAAATGGAGAGGGTGGGGGAGGTCCTGAAGGAGGAGTTTGCAAAGAATGTAGAATTGAAAATGTGAAAAGAGTGTTGGATAGGGTGATGTGTCTGAAGGTAGAAATACAAGGTCTGATGTTGAATATTGTCAGTGGTTATTTTCCACATATTGAATGCGGTATAGAAGAGAGGAAAAATTCTGGAAGGATCTGGATGAAGTGATGGAGTATTCGAGAGTGGAGATCAGAGCTGACCTAAATAGACATGTTGGAGTATACAAGTATAATGCATTCAGTGTAAAATGGGTAAGTTGAAGGAGACTGAGGACTGTTGGGTTGTAGCGTGGTCAGACAGCATCAGATGGTTGTGTGTAGAATGACTGTTGTTGTGAAGAAGAGGAAAAGAGTAAAATCAGAGAAGAAGACCAAATGGTGGAAACTGAAGATGGAAGAATGTTGTGAGGAGTTTAGAGAGGAGCTGTTAAAGGTAGTGGTAAGAAAGAGCTTCCAGATACTACAGCAGCAGTAATTAGAGAGAGAGGTTGGAAGGTACTTGGTGTGTCATCTGGACAAAGAAAGATAAGGAAACCTGGTGGTGGAATAGTGAAGTGCAGGAAGTTATCCAGAGGATGAGGTTAGCCAAGAAGAAATAGGACAGTCAGAGGACTGACAAGAGGAGACATGAGTATAAGGAGATGCAATGTAGGGTAAGAAGGGAGGTAGTGGTAAGACCTATGGTTTTGAGATGGTAGCATTGACAAAAGGACAGGAGACAGAACTGGAAGTGGCAGAAATGAAGATGCTAAGGTTCTCCTTAGGAGTGACAAGGATGGATAAGATTAGGAATGAGATCATCAGAGGTACAGCACAGGTCGAACAACTGGGAGATAAAGTTAGAGAGGCCAGACCGAGATGAAATGTCCAGAGGAAGGACACAAACAGGGGAAACACAGCATGTATGGACCGTAAACTGCAGCTTCCCAAAAGAATGTTAGAAATGCACCTGCCAGGAAAAAGACGAAGATGTATGGATGCAGTTAGAGTGGACATGGAGATAGTTGGAGTGAGGACAGAGGATTCAGAGGACGGAGAGAGATGGAGGAGGATGACTCGCTGTGGCGACCCTTGAAGAGGGAACAGCTGTAAGAAGCTGGACAGAAATGAAGCAGTTCAGATAAGCTACGTCTTGTATGTGTCATACTGTATACTGTAGTTGGTAGTTTGTGCCTAATACCAATTGTTTTTAAAGACTGACAGCAGACCTCAAAGTTCATTTGTTTTAAAATGAGACATTTATGTGAGCACAAATTCTGTTTGCTTCTTTACCATTTTTTTTCCGGCTGCTCCCTTCTTTTGGGGTCACCACAACCAACGAACTCACACAAAGATTTGGCAATTGTTTTTATGTCAGATGCCCTTCCAGATGCAATCACAGACTACCAAACTACCACAGCTCACCACTGTGGAGCAGAAGACTGCCATTTAGGGTTCTCAGTGGAGCAGATGGTGGGGGTTAAGGGCCTTGCTCAAGGGCCCAGAGTGGGGAAAATGAAGATAGAGGCAGGTGTGGGTGCTTCACCTTTCCCCACCCACATTTAGATATTATGGTCAGGGTGATTTGAACCAGTGACCTTATGATCACTGCTTCTCTAGCCTCTGCACCACCATTTCTCCCTCCACCCCATTACCAAAAAAGCTTATTTTAAATTATAGAATCTAAAACTTTGGTTTGGTAGTGGCTAAGACTCATTTCCAATATACACTTTGAGCACTAGCAGGTTGCATAACGTTTTTGCAGTAAAATTTGTGTTCATTTTACTATAAACCTGGGGAGATTATTTATTCTTCTCTTTTATCATTTGAGGGGGAAAACATGTAAACACCTTAGTACTGGAATGTGATTAACCAGTATGTGGTAAGCTGAACTGGAACACAACAACAGATGTTTCATCATTTGACCTTTGGCTTTTTTCTTTTTTTTTTAAGGTAAATCCAGCAGCATGGACCGTAAACTGCAGCTTCCCAGAAGGAACTCTGAGCGTTTCAACGCCGTGGATGATCAGTTCTGTAACGTTTCCGCTTTCAAACCTGCTACCATCACCATCACCACCATCTTTAAACAGGTCAGGTCATCGTCACACTGAGTGGAAAAATCTGGGGGTCGGATCAAGAGAGACAAAATTAAATTTGATTCACTGACGAGCTTGAAGTCTCACCTTGGCCTTGTTTGTTTATCTAACGCGCAATGCGTTCCATCGAGTTTTTGTAAAATTTTGGCTGTAAAGTCATTGCTGTAAAAATGCTGTTAGCGCCTTATCTTGAGCCTTTACATACTGACCTTTTATTTAAAAAAATGTGTGTTTGTGTATCAGGAGGGAGATCGTCTAAGTGATGAGGATTTGCTGAAATTCCTGTCTGAGATTAAGAAAACGTCGGCTCCACAGAGAAGAATCAAGACCATACCAGGTTATTTCTCTTTATATTTACACATTTACCTTGACCATCACTATTTTAAGATGAGATGAGATGAGATAGAACTTTAATGATCCCGCAGGGAATTTTGTGGATGGTACTGGTTAGTTTTGAATCATTAAAAATAGTCTAGCAGTGGAAAAAAAAAAGTGCATTTTTGACCCACAAATACAACCCCAGTTCTGAAAACTATGGAACTTTGTCTAAAATTTAAGTCAAAACAAAATACATTGCAAATCACGTCATATTTCACTTCATAGTAGAAGAGTCTGTGCATCAGACTGGGCTGCCTACAGTCCAGACCTCTCATCAACAGAAAACAGTGGCGCAGAGGTTAGAGAGGTGGGCTTGTGATCCGAAGATCGCCGGTTCACGCCCAGGCCCCGACAACATCAAAATTGTGGGTGGGGTAGGTGAAACACCCACACCTGCCCCCACCCTCATTCGCCCCACTCTGGGCCCATGAGCAAGGCCCTTAACCCCCACCATGTGCTCCCTAAACAGGTCTCTCTTGAAAATGAGTTCTCGTGGCTCAATGAGACTAACCTGGATAAAGGAAAAAAAAAAAAAAAAAAAAATTTGATGCATCGTGAAACATAAAATCCAGTTAGACATTACCAGATAGACGGAGGACTATTGAACAGCTAGAATCTTAAATCAGAAAGAGTGGGACATCATCAGAACTGGCATTGTAGTTACAAACACAATCCTCTTGCAAAACTACAAAGGGGACTTTAAAATTGAAATGTTTGCAGTTATGAAAGAGACTAACACCTTGTTTTTATTAGTGTGCGTCTGCTTCCTTATAGCTCGTCTGCAGTTTTCAGTGTTGCACATGCAAACTCGTGTTGTGTCCTCTAGGTTGCATAAAGTTGGACATGTCTCCGCTCCACGACACGCCGCAGGCCTGTTTGTCCACAGAGCTCATCCCTCTCGTACCTGCGGCGGAGAAAAATGTCCGTCCGGTTAAAGAGGTGCTGGAGTTCCCCGCCAGTGAAGTTTACGTACCTCACAACATTTACAGGTGGGTTGGCGGGGAGGACTAATATCCACTTATTCATAAAAAGAATGACTAAAAAATTTATATTTTTCTTTGGCTTTTTGGATTAAAATTTTCTACTCGCAGAAAAAAACTGAAACTTATCTTTGAAAAATGTTATCGCTTGCAGAGATTATTTCTCATAAATACCTGAGGCAACAAGAACATTCAATGTTCAGTTTGTAGCTGATGTTTGATGACCTTCATCATTCAATGTGTTGGAATTAACTTTTATTTCTCTGGCCTTGTAAAACATTGTTGTAGAGATGGCGCCATCTTGTGATATGTATTGAGATGCTTTCCTTATTCTTTAATTTCCCACCTTTGTTTTGCTCCATGTCTGTGCAGGAATTTGCTCTTTGTCTACCCCCAGAGGCTGAACCTTGTCAACAGGCTTACATCAGCGAGAAACATCACCATCAAAATCCAGTTTATGAGTGGAGAGGATCCAAGCTGCGCTCTGCCTGTGAGCGCCAGTGTTTTTAATTTAAGGGACTTCTACAGGAAAACTCCTTTAATACACTGCTTTCACACCATGTTTCTACTGCAAGCGTTGTTTAACAGACACATTTCTCAAATTTCCCCCTGGGATTAATAATCTATCTATCTGTCACACTTCTAAGCACCAATTAAATTCTACGTTTTTGACTTAAAAAGTGATTATCTAATTAATTAGTTGGGTTTAGCGTTATTCTTTTCTACAATAACACCATGGTCAGTCTACATAGCTGAACTTTGAACTTTAATATTGTTATTTTGTCATTTATCATGCGACTGTTTGTTCTCAGGTAATTTTTGGGAAATCAAGTGGCCCTGAGTTTTTACAAGAAGTTTACACCCCTGTTACCTACCATAACAAGCAAGTACACTTTGTCACAATACAAGCCCCATTTCACAAAGTTTAGTCTGTGAGACATATTGCTATAGTTTTCAGTTCTCTTCTGAGTTTTCAGACTGTCGGTGAGAATGAGACCAGTTCGAACTGAAAAACTTCTTCTGAGCTTGTTTTTATAGATTTGTGGTTTTTGTGTCTCTATGTAACTTAAATCTTTAAAGTTTTGTATCACTGTCTAAAACATTTGTTAATGAGCAGAACTTCTGCAGATTAGCTCAACTGTTTGTGCTTGTTTTATTCATATTTATACTTTTTTGTTATTATTTGGCCTATGAACATATTTAAAATGTGTTTATTGGCAAGTTTCAAGAAGCAGCTTGATTTCTATTAAAAAAAACAAAACAAAAAAAAAAAACAATTTTTTTTTTCTTCTAAATCTGTTTGTATAGTTATGCTTTGTATTTCTTTTTTTAGTTTACACTCAGAAATATGTAGAAAAAAATATTTCAAATCATATACATTTGTTTGAATTTTTAGGCAAATTCTGTTGAGTCAGTTACCGTATTTTTTGTGCTATAAGGCGCGCCGGATTCTAAGGCTCACTGTCGATATTTGAGAGAATTAAAGGATTTTAAGTGTGCCTTATAGTCCTAAAAATACAGTATGTCTGCTTTTATTTCAATAGGTTTTCTCATTTAAAAAGTGTACCTCACTTTTCATCCATGTCCATCTTTATCACTCATTTTTCCTCGTCTTTACTTTACTTCTGTTAATTCCTACTTGCTCTTCTCACAGGTCTCCAGACTTCTATGAGGAAGTGAAAGTTGCTCTTCCGGCCCGCCTGACGGAGAGGCATCACTTGCTGTTCACTTTTTACCACATCAGCTGCCAGCAGAAACAGAACCAGAGCGGCAGCTACGAGACACTCATTGGATACTCGGTGAGATGTTTTTCAGCTTTTTTTTAATGCAATGCACAAAACACAACTTTGTTTTGTGTCTAAAGTCAACACTATTATACTTTGCTGAACCTGCTGTTTGCTTCTTGCACAGTGGCTGCCCATATTGAACACTGACCGCCTGCAGACGGGTCAGTACTGTCTGCCCATCATCTTGGAGCGACTCCCTGTGAACTACTCGCTGCACGCACCAGAGGTAGACCTACCCACATCCATCAAAATGCTTCAGCTGTACATACATGAGAATTTAAGATTATTTTATTATTTTATTTGATTAAAAATAGTTATTTTTCTGTGGTAAAAATTTGGTGCAGATTGAACAAAACTACTTTGTCCTGCATCTTGTAGAAACTTCCTTCTCAGGTTCCTCCAGTCAAGTGGATGGAGAGTCACAAAGGGCTGTTTAACCTGGAGGTCCAGGCTGTATCATCTGTTCACATTCAGGTGAGTTATGTCTGGAAATGTATAAAATTAACTCTGCTTTATTGTTAATTGTGTGAATGCTGATTCAACATTCCCACTTTTTTTTTTTAAATTTCTGTCTGATTTTGGAATATAACATCTGCATACTTTGTGCTATTTAAACCATACGTGTATCAAAATGTTCAGATTATTCACAAGATGGGTACTCTGACCTTTTTAGTACTTGTATGTATGCTTTTTAATTTTTTTAACTTCATTTACAAATATTTTATCAAATTAAATACAATGAGGTCTTTTTAGTGAATTCAGAAATGTTGTTCTCTGTAAAAATCTGCTTCAGCAACATTTGCTCCAATTGGTCCCCTTGTACTTTTAGCTACCATTCTGCTACTTTTAACTTCTAGACAACCTTTTGCTACTTTTGGGTTTCTACTAATCTTTAACTAAACTGCGTAGATGCAACATAAAGTTAAGTCTAGCTAAAAGCAGGGCTACTGGTTTGCCTTTTTATAATTGAGCTTTTTGTAATTAAGCCTTTTGTTCTTTTTTTACTTTTTGTTCTTTTATAACACTTTGATAATGTCTTTGAAATAATAATTCATTATAAATATAATATATTTATTATAACTATTATTATTATTATTATTATTATTATTATTATTATTATTATTATTATTATTATTATTAT